ATTTGTCAATGCACCTCACAGTCTGCTTATCTGGTCTGTAATTCAGCAGCTGGTCTGTGAGGAAGTTATGGGAGATAGTATCCAAAACCTTGATAAAGACAAGATAAACAACATCCACTGCTCTCCCCTCATCCACCGAGCCAATCATCTCATTATAGAAGTCTATTAGATTGGTCAGGCATGATTTCACTCCAAAAACCCCTGGTACCTGCAGGGCTGTGATCCAGAATTTAAGAGCTGCAATATAGTGGTCAGGGAGGAGAATGAGAAAAAGGAAAGATACATCTCCAGCTGGTGCAGTGGTTCAGCTCTATCTAAAGTTCCTCCTCTCTGTAAGGGAGGCAAAGAGCCCATGTCTTTCTAATTCAGAAAACTAATTTCAAATCTGTGCTTAAGTGTATGACAGTGTCCAGAATTACTGATTCTCCAACTACAGTCTTTGCATCAGGTAATTAACACAACTCACTGCCCACTCCCTTATATGTTGCACTCTGATCCCCTGGGGACTTTCTCCGAAGCAAGCTGCACATCCAAAACAAGAGTCAAGCCATCTAAATGTCAAAGCGAGAAACTCATGCCTTCCTAAGCATGTCAGGGTTAACCTCCTCTCCCATCCCTCCACAGGGGAAGCCAATTTTAAATTGGCATGCAAAGTCTGCCTGCAGGGAGATTTCCACCTTGTTTATCCACACCTGCCTTCCAGCAGATGAGCCACCAATTTTCCTGCTGCAGAAACTAGTGCCTGTCACACAATAATTGAAGTGATGACAAAAAGAAAAAAGCCTGGGATCTCACAGGCCCTTCAAGGGGAGTAACAATACAAAAATAAAAGCCTGCCTGCTTTACGCTCTCTCCCAAGTCACCTCCTCCTAAGAAGTAATTTTAGCAAGCTTCTTTTGCTCCATCCTGGAACACAGAGTCAAAGAGGAGACAGCACTGGATGCCCACGCTGGGGAGCATCAGCCCTTGTCAAGACACATCAGGCAGCCAGCTTTCATTCCTATTGGCAGGGGCTTGGGGAATTCCTGTGCCTACGGGAATCGCACAAACATTCAATCTGCCATCTCTTGAAAGCACAGCAGCGACAGGGCTGAGACAAGAGGTAGCAAGGGTTGGGTTTCCTTGATGGAGAGGGGGCAGGGAAACACTGAGTTGCAGTCACTTCTTACACAAGAAGCTTCACAGAATCTACTCTCTAAGGCCTTGCAAAGCCCTCTCCAAAAAGTGCACAAAACAGGATCAAACTCCACAACCATTCTGGGATCCAGCTGCAACAGGGACAGAGCAGCCTTTCCTCCTTCCTCTCAAATAGAGCAGACCTTATGCTGGAAAGGCTTCTTTCCACCCCCCTGATCCCAGTCATGCCCTTCAAGTCTACTGCTTAGTACCAACACACTGATCAGATCCCTCAATCTCATGATGGTTTGGATAATGGGTTTAAAATGGAGTTATGTTTCATGACATGGTGTGGGATTAACATCTATTGACTAAGTCACTGCTGTATTTGTGCACTGGTAGAAACAGGCTCACAGTTAAAGCACTAGGCTGGGTGTCAGAATGCAGATTCTTCTCCTAGCATGCCACAATCACGGTGGGACTTTGGGCAGGCCACTTCCCTTTCGTATGCTAAAGCTTCCTACCATCTCATCCACACAACCGGAATACGTCTCCTGCCTGCAGACAGCTTGTGGAGACACACTACGGGCTGTATGGGCATTCAGATACCTCGTAACAGAGAGAAGGGAACTGGTAAGAGATGGAAGTATAAAGGTAATAGCCCTGAATACTCTTGGGAACACCACAGAATATCTGAAGGATCCCTTGCAGGAGACAGGCAGGAAGAAAGGGAAGGCTGACAGCTGCAAGGAAATTTGAGAGTTTAACATCATGCCATTCACCCTGAGGTAGAGAAGTAAAAGCAAAGTAATTGTTAAAAAGTAATGTGAAAGAGTATGCAAGCAATGCACATGCACACATTTACCCTGCCCCCATCTCTCCTTTGTCACCCACCAACACCTGGACAAGCTAAACCAAGTAGTGCCTCACAAACACACACAGCAGGATCGGATGTGGTCAGGGGCTTGTGGAAGCTGAGAGGAAGCTCAGCGTGCAGCGTGGTAACGTCTGGCTGGGGCCCGACAGATTAGAGCTGAGGTGCTGGGACCAGAATGCAAAGAGGGGTGACATGCCCCAAAGGGAATGAGGCTTTATCTCTCAAAGCACTAAAAAGCAGAAAAAAACATCCTCACCCCAAGCTCCACTACCCCAGAACGGAGATGCCTCTATCACTAAATCTGGTTGGCAGAATTTCAAATATGCAGGAACAAGAGGAAGGAAGCAGGCGAATGGCAAAGCCACACAAGCCAGGGCCAGGGAGCAGCGGAGGAGGCAGGAGAGCAGGAGGAGATTTATAAACATCACTGCCTTCCACAGGCTCAGAGGATGTGGTTTGCAAAGGACGTTTACAACAACACAAAACCGCAAAAGCCTTTGCTTCAACAGAACTTGATTAGAAACGAGCCTGGCTGACTCAGGTCATTTATTAGAGAAGTCTCCCCCCCTCCTCTTCAGCGTCCAGCTTCATGCTGACCTACTACAGTTTCTGCACCCCTCGTCCTGCCTCGCTCACACTTCTTCAGTGAAATCTGCACCATTTCTGTACTACCTTCTCACAGCAGCAACGCCAGGAAGACCTACATGGAGAGATGTCAGGCATCTGATACGTGGGAAAGCTGGATGGTCTCTTAGCACCAGTATTTCACCAAACATACTGCATTTTGCTGGGCTGTGTTCACAGACTTTTTCCTAAATAAATTCTAATTCTTGAAGGGCTTTTTCCCTTCCATTTCCCTTTGTCTGCAGTCAGGAGAAACTCTTCCTTTTGCTACGATATGAACACATCAGCAGGATCGAGTAACAACAGCTTGGGGAGTTACTGCAACCAGTTGAGCCTCTGAATCTCTTCTCTGGCAAATTCTGCCTAGTCCAGCTGCATTAGTTAAACCATCTAGGAATGTATTTTTGCACCCAGCTGATCGCAGATACTCTCTGCTCACAGGCCAATAAAAGTTTAATCCTATTTGCTAACCAAACAATATATTCTGTCTGATGCTGTTTGCCACGGATTTTAGGGAGTAAGCAAATTGGACAATCCTGGGAGCTGTTGGCAGGTATTGTGTGTGTGTTTATTAGGCAGCAGCCGTTGCTATGTCAGCAGGAACCAACTAACCTCCAGGATAAACGGCAACACTGGGATGAAGGTCCTGGTGTTCTCAGACAACAGTGTAAGTGCACGGATGCAGTGCATGCGCAGAGGGTAGAAACGAGCTGTTGGTACCAGCCTGGAGAGGAAAAAAGAAAGGGTATTAGGCCAGGTTTATAGAGAAACTGCACCTGCAGCCTTCAGTGACACTTGAGAGCCTTTCCTACCCTACAGAAGACAGCTTTAGTATTGCACCACAAACTGAGCTGCTGCAGCTATCCCACAGCTGGAAATAAAATTTACACATGTTAAAGCTATAACACTAACACACAAATCCCTGCAACCAAAGCACGAGGTTTCCAGCTTCTGCTGAGAGAAAGTGCTACAGGACAAGAGTTTGTAGATGAAGTTTATCACTGATGTCACATTCAACACTTTCAGCTCTCACCCCTCCAGTACAGGTAGGCACACAAGGAAAAGTGGCAGGAACCAGCAGTAAAGTGCCTATGCAGAGCAGCAGTTTAACCAAGAAAAGGGCTCCCCCAGCACACCAGAGGGATTACAAGGAGGAATGTTTCCCATTTCAGCCTAAGTACCCTCTGTATACCCACAGAGGTCATGCCGTCACCTGAACAGCAACCCTCTTAGCGTGGAACATCACCAAGGCAGGAGGATCTGGACTAGCAACAACCACCATATCAGAAAGGGCAGAGTGGGAATCAGAGTGACCTCTCACAGCCAAATCTGTTGAGCCCTCTCCAATCCAGAGGAGCACCGGAGCTATTCCTATCTCCTTCAGATGTAACATGTACATTTGAACAGCCAGTAACAAGCATGGAGGGGAAGAAGCCAGACTTGGACCCATACTTCAAACCATTACAAACTCAGGTGTTAAGGAAGAGAGACAACTCCCTTTGTTAGGCTGGGACTGAGAAGGCTCAGCTTCCCCTGCACCATGTAAGCCAGCAGCAGAGGGAAGAGTGCAGGGCTATCCCTAAAAGACAGACTTCATTGCTGTACCACTCACGCTGAATGACCTGTACTTGAAGACATGGATGCCTCCAGCATTAACGAGGATTTCTAAAAATTTTTTCTTTAAAAACCCACCATGGTTCCCAGGCAACAGGCTCAAGTCTGATAAATGAAGCACTTCCCTCCCCAAACAGCTTGCTGAACAATCCAGGAGAGAAGAAAAAATGCTTGACCAGTCACCATAAATCACCTGCATCCCCCCTCAAATAGTGAAATAATTATCATTGGATCCATTATAGAAATAAATCTACTTTGCACCCCTGATCTGGCACCACTGGAGATGACGAAAGCCATTCTCGGGAATTAATTGATCAAGGAATAAACCTGTTAAGTGTATAGATTTACTGTAAACCAAGACCATTAATTTTAGAGTGCGTGGCGATGCAACAATCTGCTCAACTTCCTGATGGTTGGATGCACAGGGAATACAAAACACAGCTGGGTCCCAGCTCTGCTGAGGAAAGTCCAACTGCCTAGTCACTCCAGGGTGCAGCTGGGGGGGTTCAAACTGACTCCTATTTCATCTTCAGCCAAGAGTACTCTCTAATGTCTTACCACCACTACCTCTTGGAACGCCTGCTGTACTTCTGTCCCATGCAGTCAGGGCACAAGCTGTGGTGTAGAGAACAGCCTAGAGGCTTCTCAAGGCTTATTTTTACTCACTACAGCTCCTTCCGCTCTACTCCTGAGTGACCACAACCTTCCTCTGGCTAGAGAGGACAGACAAAACTTCTTTCAACATCAGCCTCCACCTGAGCAGGACAGGTCACCAAGGGGAGTTGCTCAGGGGACACCAAGGCTGTGCCTGCTTTTTCCCTTGTACATGCTGAGAGGCCAGAAACGAAAAATTAACAGGCACAAAAACTCTCATTTAACTATAAGTCAGGGAGGAACTTCATTTTTATAGCCTAGACTGGGAGCAAGGTAGAAATCCAAGCAGACATGGTCAGTAAAACAGTTTATGGGATGAGGGGAAGAGGGTAACATAGAACAGGAGCTTCTGCTGCAAGAAAAACAACCAATAACTCATTATTACATGGCAATTCCAGGAGCAAACTCAGCAGTGAGGCTCTGCCCAGCATCACAGAAGTCAGAAACCACCAATTCCAGCACTCCTCTATTCAGCAGTTCAACTTCCCTGGACCACATCTTGAGCACAGGTAGCTTCCAGACATGCATGGGGACCATTTTTGAAATATGTATTATTAAAAACAGTTTCAACGCATTTTATATGCTGGAAAGCAATAAGAGGGAGCAAGAAAGAGAGCTAATTTTGATTTTAGCAGGCAACCCTCTTCTAGTAGTTATCTTGTTTAATCGCTTTTCAAATTCTGCCCTAGTCCCTACCTAGAGCAAGAAGGCTGCAGTGGATGGTGGTTTCTTCTCATTCCCTTCAAGGAAGAGGCCAGGGTGGCACAAGGAGCTGATCAGGTCCCAGACAGACAGACACCAGCTCACTGCCCTTGTGCTGGAGCCAGGCGCCACCTCCCGGTACAAAGCACTGGGGAAGGGGAGTCTCCTCCCAGCCCCACCACCACCCTCCAGTCAAGCCCACAGCCCCACTACATCAGGAACAGAGTGAAAGCAGGTGTTTCAGATGTTACACAGCATCCTGCCCCACCACCTCATCACACACACCCTCTCCTCTCAGAGCCAAGCAGCCCAGAGAAAAAAGGAGAGGAGTCCTGCTCATTCACACCATCTCCACAAGAAAGTCTGCTGGCAGCAGTCAAGATAATAAACAAGCAGCCCCAAAGCAGATGTAAAACCCCTACATGGGCCTTCCAAAAATGCATGAAGTGGCAAATGAAGCAAAAAACCCCTTGACCTGCAGATCAATTTTTTTAAAAAAATTGATTATTTAACCTCTCACCTCCCATAGAAACACCCCAAGTTCTTCTCAGATGCTACAGGTGTACCTACACCAGGGGCTGTGGCAGAGACTGACTCTCACTGGCCTCAGTTTAGGCAGCAGAGCCACCAACACTAAGAGGCTGCCTACACCCAGGAAGGATCCTGGGCACAGCCTGATGCCACAGAGCCACATCATTCCCACACCTGCTAACCTACCTATTCCCTTTTTATATCCTGGACACAGCTCAGCGAGGAAGCCAGGGTGGGATCTATTTCTATTTTCCCAATCCTAGAACCCATGTGTCAGGTTCTCAAAACTTTAAAGCCTTGTTAAGACTGTACTTCATGCCAAGCAGCCCTGTCCATCACACATGTTAACAAACTCTTTGCTGCCCTTACTGAGACTCACCCAATTCACCTCTTCTTGGACCCAAACAACTGATTTCTCTGCCTGGACAGGTAGAAAACTGCCCTAGATCCATCCCCAGGAAAACAAAAGCTCTACAACAGGAGTGGGAAGCAGCCTGTGCAGGTGGGGGATGGGAAGAGGGATGTATGCATACTCTAACGATCGTTTAAATCTGCTTATCTTCATCACCACTTGGGAGTTTTACAAGACCAGGCGGGTGGTGTTTTAAAGCTGAGAATCTGGTTAACAGAGCTAACAGGATTTCAGAGATCACCAGAGATTCAGAAATTCCCTCAATGCTCATTACTAACAAGCCAATTCAAAGCACGAAAGTTTCACTATAAATATATAAACTGGTGGGAAAAGAGAAATTCTCAGCAGGAACATACTAAAAACAATAAACATGTCCTAGTTCTTCAAATTCAAATAAATACGCACACAAAAAAAATCATCTTTTAACTGTATTTACAAAACTAGAGATGAGAACTAGATCCTGAACTTTGGCACTGTTAGGTCCTGAGGCAAGTCAGTGCATTTTTCCTTGGCACATCGTACAATTGGGAGGATAATCTATTCAGATTGCAACTTCTCTTATACAGAGAATTTATTCTAGGAAAAAATAACCTACATACAACTTTCTCACCACCTAAACATACAAGTGCTCACAACACATCTTCACTTGGAATACTTCAATCAAAAGCAGCTCTCTGACTTACAACGCAAGGTTAAATGCAAATCATGTAGAAGTAACACCCCCTAGGAACTGCTCTGCCACATCAAGCAAGCAGAAGTATAGGAAAAAGAAAAAAAAACTCCTACTTACTTTATACACCCAATGATGACCTGGGTCAAAGGATAGATCAACGGCTCCATGACCTCACTGGGATAGATGGTGCTGAGAACCCGACACCAGAAATAGAGGCAGTGGATATACTGCCAGTTATAAACAGACTGGAAGTTCTCCTGCAGGAAAGGGAAAAACATAGATACAAACTTGAAAATGTGGCGTTTGAGAGGAGCTCACTCTGGTTTCTCTACAGGATTCATTTTATCCAGTATTCTCAAAGACGACATTGTGTACTCTTTAGAGAGGAATAACTAACATTCTAGCTGTCGTTTTGATGCTAGTGGATGCCCCACCATCCAGCAAATTCAGATCCTGCATTGGCAACATGATTTGGTACTAGTTAGTGCCTTGAAGGAAATAATGAGCAACACACAGCCTGCTTTTCTTCCCAAGTACGGCTCATTTGAGAAGGATGATTTAACAACCCAGCTCACAGCAGATGGTGGGATGTGGCCAAGCATTAGAAAACCTTTAACTGTTCCATTTACCCACAGTCCCTGGGAAAGTCCCTTATCTCCCACAGGTAGGAAGGCTGGAAAATAGTACCCATCTCTGATGCCCTTATAAATTGCCTTCTGGCCTTTGCAGACCAGAGGGGAGGGGTAAAAAAAGAGTGTGTGAAGCTACACTACAGATTCAAGCTAGCAAGAAATTTATCTGAATTCATCTGCATTTCCCCTTTCTGCACTCAACTCCTTTGGTTATATTGCAGCTTGTCCTTTCCACTTCAGTTTTCCATTTACACAGCTCTATTAAACCCCTCTAACTACCACCCCACTAGCTATGAAAGGTAGTAACAGTGCTCATTTTAAAGATGTTCCTACAAACATTCACTGTCAAAGCAAGGTCTGAGCACTCCTCCCTACTTTTGGAAAAGCCACTACCCAGAACAGGTTTTCTTGTTTTTTGTTTTTTTTTTTTTCAATTGCAGAGTAAAGATGACAGGCAGCAGAGCTGAGAACAAACTTTAGTTTCTCAGCCAGTCTTTATGGTTACCAGCAAAAACAACGCAGCCAGCCAGCAGCATGCCTGACGTGCAAAACCACACCGAACCAGCATTTCAGGCTGGCTCAGTAGTACGGGTAGGTGTGGGTCAAGTCTTGCACCAGTCCAAGAGGCATTGTTTCCAAGAATATTTGGGCAAGACCCCAGTCTCCCAGCCATGTGCTTAAGCAACTCAGTGCCAGATTAAATAAAACGCCAGAAGAGTGCAGGAGTCCCTTAAGGACACCCTCTTCAAAGAGTTCTGCAGGCCCACGTATTCCCCAGAACTGCACTAAGAATTTAGGAGATTGCATTTAAGGTGCCTCATTTCCAACATGTGTTTTGTTTTAGACAGACTTTCAAGGCCCAGGTCACCTCCGTGGTGTGGATGAAGCATGATGCACTAGTTCTGAGACCAGGACAGAAGCCCTTAATTGCTGCCACTGGACCAAACCTTGCAAGTAGGGACCTTAGTCACAGCTGGAAATGGTAAAGCTCTCCCAGCAGCTGAGATGTACCAAGCAGCTCTGTTCTCAGCTTCTCTTGCACAGAAGAGATAAGCAATCTGCTCCAGTAATCACCTTCTACAACCACCCACTGCTCAATTTAAATGGGCTTATTGCTTGGATTTGCGTATTTTGGTTGTGCTGTTGTCATATGAAGTTCCTACAACCCTCCAATGGTGAAACCAAGTGGATTTAGTTCTTGTCTGGGCCAGGACTGAGGGTGTAAGAAGCCAATGCAATCCAATTAGGGCATATGCAGCCCAGACTTCATTTATCTCTGCTCATTTATCCCCATGTCTGAAGAGCCAGGAGATTTAACTGGTCACCAATCCTGCAATGTTTGAAAGCAGCTGAACAATTAATCTCTAAGAGTCTGTTTTGCTAAACATGACTAAAACCAGGATTAGCAATCTGACTCAGATTTCTGAGGTCAGACTGGAGGTAGCTGAAATCAGGGCTGACCCCAAAAGGTCTGAGCTGCTTTGTTCAATTAATTCCTTGAAATAGTATGGACTTCACTGGAAAGATGCACACACCAGGGTGGTTCCTAATCTTCTTTACCATGAGGTTTGTGACACAGGCTGCAAACAGCAGCTTCAGAGAATGGAAAAAGGTTGCCCAAGGTGGAAGATGGGATGTGCATCACAAATTCTTGTAAGTTGGGGAGAGAAAAGCAACTCTCACCCTACAGCTGTCTGTCCTTCCTTGCTGAAATTCTAAACTAACACAGGCAACTACAAGGTGATCACTGAAGCTGCCAGCCCTTGGCAGAAATTCCTCAGCACTTTATGAAATGTGTCAGACAACTACTGACACTTCAGAGATGCCACCAAAAACCTGAAGTGACTACTGTCCTTTTCCCCTCTCTGCACATTCCCCACAGGAGGGCAGACTCCCTCCACACCGACGGGTACCCACCTTTTTCTTTATTGTCATTGCACTGCGCAAGTGAATGGCAAGCTGGCGGATATAGATGAAGGCATGCTGGTAGGAGATGTGGGTGTCCAGGGCATACATCTCTGTCAGTGCACGCTGCATGAAGTTGATCATGGGCAGGACATTGGGAGAGGTGAATCTGGAATTCTTCACAAATGCGATGTACATTTGCTGTGCAGAAAATAGGACTCAATACAACCACCACAGAAAACAGGACAAAGACATTCTTCCACAAACCTTCCCCACCCAGGTATGTCCAAACCAGGGATGAAGTGTTCCTTTTGTAAGACAAGACACTTCAAAGGAATACGCAAAAATAATAATCCAGCTTGATCCTTCTTCAGGGGAGATGGGAAGAGTCTGTTTAGCACAGAGCTTGGAGATGCCCCTAACAGAACTGTGGGATGGCTCTGAGTCGTTCATGCTTCTGGTTGGTCACAGTTCTCTTGCTGTAAGAGCAGTACCCAAACTGCCCTTGGGAGCCTCAGCTACTAGCTGAAAGATCAGAGCAACTCTGATGAATATTCATCCAGAAGACAGATGAGTACCAGAGGCCTTACCTGCTAAGACCCTGTGTGCCTATAGCAAGAAGGACAGTGGTAGGAAGCAAGACATGACTGACCTAACAGAGAATTTATTCCCTGTTTAGTTTTCTGGAGGTAGGCTGCATCATCTCCAGCACCTGCCCTACCTAAAAGGCTGCAGCTCACACTCCAAGGTCTTCACATGTAACATGAGAAAGAAAAGCTGCAGAGTAAAGCAAGTACCAGCCTTACCTTGAGCAAGGGACTTAAGTACACCTCTTTCTTGTAGCGGCAGATCTTGTTCAGCACAAGGAAGGCCAGTACTCTCACTGTTTCCTCACCTGTGCTCCACAAATTAATTGTTTGCTGGAATGGAAAATAAAAAGATGAAGATAAGTGAAAGGATAAAGAGCCCCTTCCTGGTTACAGAGAGGCCTGAGCTTCCCTCCTTCACACCAAAAAAATCAAGTGAGGAGAAGATGACACAAAGATGGCAGGCTGTATTGTCAGAGAACCAGTCACAGCAGCACTGGCAGCCACTCTGTGCTCATACTCTAGCTGTGAGGCCACACCAAAGGCAAGGTTGATGTTTCCACAATCAATAAAGGAAACTGTCCAAAACTAGCATCTCTGAAAAACACACACACTTGTATTCATGTGCCTAAACACACATTTGAGTTTGAGCCACAGGCACCAGCCTGCCCATGTGATTCAATCTCCAAGGCCCTGTAAAGCTTCCTCACCATCCCCCAGACAGTGACACCACACTAGATTACACATGCTCCAGCCCAATAAAAAAAGTCATTTTCTTGTCTTACACTGAATTCTGCAGAATACAACTACACAGCAATTGCACTCCAGTTCTCACTGTGAACACCAAATTCTAGTTTCTCAAAGAATTCTATTAAACATGCCTTTGTCTCTGGATAGGTGACACCAGGATCTCATTTCTGATTTGTCAGTTGTTTCTCCCTCTGAGCAAATAGGTTGCAATTCCTGAGACACATCTCCTCATGGCAGCTGACTTAATTCTATTTCCCTGGACACTGACTGTATTAATGCAAATGACAGAGCAGCAGGAGGGTTTGGAGCCAGAGACAGGACCTGTGTGAGGCAACACTTCTGCTGAGATAAACCCTTAGTCACTCTGGTACAGACACGATGATGATCACCCAGTGCCTCAAAAAAACCCTACACCAGCTGGAGAGGGGTAGGCTTGTCTGTGTAGAGGTCTGAGCTAACAGACATCCCAATTCTGACACATAAAGTCATTGATCTGAGTCTTAAGCATCTCTGTGCTGCGTAAAGCAATCTCTCCCCTCAACTTCTTGAGAAACAAATGAAGAGATGTTGTTCTTGCCAGGCCTGCCTGCATTTCCCTGTTCAGAGTACAGATTCACTCAGACATGGCTGGCCCTGTCCAAAAGCATCTGCTACAGCAGGACCACAATCACAGCTGATACCTCCAAAGACTACTTACCTTGTCTGCACTAATGAACTCAACAGGAAACCAGAGAATTGCAGCTGCAGAGCTGAAAAAGCCTGCTTGAAAGTCCCTACTATAGCAGAAAGCAGAGTGCTACACCTTCAGATATGAGGTGTACCAGTCATCTTTATCAAAGGGCTCCCAGGCTCACATAAATGTTCCGTTGCAGCTTTTCATTTAAATGTCACCCTGTCCACGCCTCCTTTGTTGTTCTTAAGCACTCAGCAGTTGTGACTAAGTTCCTGCAAAAATATTCCACCCCCAGCTTTTGAGAGTGAAATACTACCACAGACGTACACACAGACTCAGCACACAGGCTGCAATTACTCCATCTGTGGTGAGAAAGCCAACAGCTTCCCCAGAACACCTCCGTGTCACTTGGTATGGGGATTAGCAGCAGCTACACACACAGAGCCACATGCCCACTCACCTCAGCGTGAGCACTTCACCACGCCCCGAAGGCCTGCGAGAGAAGCATGAGTCCTTTCCACAACCAAAAGAAATGCCAGAGGAGTACAAGAGACTGAACTGCCACGGGAGCCAGCCCAAATACCACAAGAGGCTTATCTGAAGGGGTAAAGCAAGTACCTCACACCCAAATGACACATCATAGCACATCACCTTACCTTGAGAAGAGCACGACACTGCTTTGGAAAGGACAAATAGTAAGGTACTGTGGCACTGACATGCTGAAGGACAGCTGCGCCCACTGAGGCTTCTGTTAAACAAGACAGGAGCTATGAAGGGAAAACAAAAAACAAGCCCATTTAGTGTGTAGTCCTCATCACCCTTTTCTTATCATTAAGCAACTGTATTTTGCTGTTTGCAAGTATTTCTGTATTACCAGAGGACTGGTAGTTCAGACTATGAAGCAACTAATAAGGACCAGCCTACCCTAGGAAGAAGTTCAAACCAACCTGCAAAAGCTGTATCAGGAAAGGAGCAGACACATGGCAGGTTAAAGAACTCCCCTGAAAATACATCACCCTGGCAAACGTGAGCTCAAGCTAACGGCACCTCAGCTCATCACGTAAAACCTCATTTGTGTATCCTGAAAAAGCTAAGTCTACGTGCAGTTTCAGACATTTTACTACAGCATGACACCCATGTCTGTCATCTCACTACAAATGGTTAAAGCAGGATGAAGACACCTGCAGTCTACACAAGGCTTGGAAACAAACCATCTGAACTATGTGTTAACTTACTGGATTCCACTAGGATTTCTTTAATGGGAAACTGGAATACTACTGGGTATCAAGAGGCTCACTCTACCTCAAGGAAAAGGCCAGACAAACTATTAAGAAACAGTATCTTTGTATTTCTAACTCGGTTCACCTAGAGCCAAACCCAGAGATGTTTGCAGTTTCTAATTTGAAGTCAACAGTAAGCTCAAGTCACTCCAGTTTGAGAGGTTCTGCCTGATGCAGTGCTCCCTCTTGCTTGCAATCCCAGCTGCTGAAAGCATTTTTTCTACTTTTAATTTTCCTCCTCATTCTCCTTGCACTGCAAAGATTCCAAGACTGAGCAGGTGCCTTTTACAAAGTCCCTCACACACCAAAAGGAAAGGAGAAAATATTGTTCAGAAACTACTATGCCAGAAAACCACTGTAGGAAAGCCTGGGACTGAGGGCACTTGGAAGTAAGTACAGGAGCAGGGATTACTCCAATGGGACTGCATTGCCAGCTTTTCCTTTTCTATTGCAATCTTCTGCTGCTGGCGAGCAGCACAACTGGAGAAAAAAAAGCTCTGCTGATCAAAATGCACTTTCTGCTAAGTCACTCTGCCAGTTTACAGCTAAGAGACATCAGCACTTTTTCTTTGCTTATATATCCCCCTTCCTTCAGCCACATTGAATAACTATTTCAATGTTGTTTTGGTTTCAATATTCCAAATCTGGGGACACATGACGAAACAATCTCCAAAAAATATTAACTGGGGGCAGGAATTTCCTTCAGAAATAATCCATGAATTGTCTCTGCAACACCAGACATCTGGAATTTCGGATGGATGGGATATCCTAGGGGGATGGAGCATTATCATACTTGGAGATGTCATGTGAGGTTATCAATGTCTTTGTATTTACTGCATGAAGTGGCAAGATCATAACGCCAAAAATGAATTAAAATGCACAATGCAGGAACATAGCACTGCAAGCTACTTTAAAGCCCACTAAGTACTAATTTGTCAGAAAGAACTCCAGAACAACAACCCTGCCCTTCTTTACAGGCTACTTGTTTTGACCCAACCATCCTATGGACTTCCTAAGTGTTAGTTCGACCAAAAACTTCCAGAAATAAGACAGGGCACTGGATGGACACACAATCTCAGATGCCCAAGGCTTTGAGACTCACTGATGGTGCCTTTGCCTGCTGCAGTCTCTGCTGATAAATCCTTACTTATGCTCTGCTACAGAAGGCAGCACAGAAACCAGTATTCAAGATTCCCAGCATTGTGATGGCCAGAAAGTCGCCCTCAAATCGAAGTGTGTTAAATGGAAAAGAACCTGAGGCTACATTGTTACCTGCTTTGTTAATTTAGCAGTGGTGTTTACAGATGCAAAAGCCCACCTGCCTCATTCCAAAATTTCCTGAACAAGAGCCCAGCAATGCAGACTGACCCCATGCCCAGAAATGCACAGACTGACACCAGTAAGAGAAAAATGCTGAAATTCCTTACTTGTATGGTACAACTGAGGTACATTTTTATGTCCAGTCGCAGCTTGCTCCAAAGTGGGCTGGTGGAAGGGAGGACTATTCTGGAAATGAGCAAGAGTTGGGTTTAGCTTTTTTTAAAAAAATCCCACCAAATAGATTAGATTCCACCAGCACAAAGAACAGCGAGTTCAATTCCTTGATATTGCCAGTGAGTAAAAACAACTGCTTGCAAAGCAAGAAGAGAAGTAACAATTTTGTCACGGCTCAAAAGAAGTACTTCTACTGTGTAAAAACTGACTGAAGCACAGCATTAGAAAACTCAATTCCAAGAGATTCCCAGCAGAGTACCCAGATCACTGGAAGTGTGATAGAGGGAGCCGTGACAGCCAGAAAGCCTCGAGACCTGAAACTCTCACACTGATGTTATCTTCCAGTCAGACATTCTGCAGCCACTGCCCGAGAAGAGGGCAGGCTGGCCTGCAGCAAGAGTATATTTTGGGAATCCAACTAGTTGAGACATTTTCTCAGTCTCTTCTAAACTTCTGACAACTGCACTGGAAGTAGTGCCCCCAGGCCATCCCAAAATTCAGACATGGTCTGTACAAGTCCAGTCTGGAGAGGAAAGAGGCTGGTATTTACACAAAGAATTGGAATTTACTTCTCAGACTAGGCACCACTGTCAACAAGCAATCTAGAGTTTAGCTCACCCCTCCCCTTCATCTGTGACAGGGAAATTAAAAAAAACTGCCACAAAATTACCCTGGAACTGAAAGCACTTCTGAAAGGCATTCAGTTCTCACTCTACCCAACAATAAGGAAAAAACAGAAGAGTTCAGACTATGAAGCAACTAATAAAACTGTGAGCAGCTAAAACTGCAGAGAACTGAGGTTAAAAAGCTTCTGTGAATGTCGAGTCAAAAACAGGCACAGGGGCTAAGTAAGGCTGCTCCAGCTTGCAAAACACATGGGGAACTTGACAGCTTGTTTTATGAAACTGGACTCACTGTCCCCAGCTGTTGTACTGGTTCGTCCAGCAAGACTTCTTACTGGTATTTACTGAGCTTCCAGCACCTTTTTCAGTTGCTCCTGGGTAAGCCATGCTGATAACTATTCAATTATGGGCCCAGCCTGACTCTGAAACTTAAGAGCACCAACCCAAACAATAGCCAGAAAATTCTCAGCTCCCAGGCAGCAATTGAGATTCCAAAATTGTCATTCCTCCTTCTCCAGTCAAATCAAATTGCATCAGTGAATGCGATACAGAGATACCACAGAAATGCTGCTATTCCAAAAAAAAAAAAATTAATTGTACCATTCTTTGCCCAGTTGCACCCTTGCTGTCATTCCATCTATGCTCTAACAGTGAACAGCTCAAACTCAGATGATCCAGCCCTCACACCACCAGACTCGGGCACAATAGAGCTGCCAAAGCCCTGGATTAACTAGTCACACACTTGTGATACTCTGCCCACACGTAGGCAGGAGGCTTGGTCTCTTTCTCTGAAAAACCAACTCATAATGCCTTAACAGCACTCCTGAGTGCAAGCATATGCAATTCCAGATCTTTCTGTTGCAGCCACACATCCTCTGCAAATGGCTGGAGCCTAATATTACAGAGGACGTACTTCTGGGGAAAAACAAACCAACCTGGCTCGGATGACTGAATATAATCAGGTAACTCTGCTAGTGTTTGGGAAGAGCTCCCATCTTTTTCCAGCTTCGCAGCCAGGCTGCAGTTCTGATAAACCCCAACCAGCTTTCTCTCACCTGCAGTTCTCAGATCTCTTCAGACTTACTTTAGTTTGTTCTTTGGGGGTTTCAGAAGCAGCAGCTTCTGCAGGCAGCGGAAAAGGTCCCGGACACAGAAGGACACGAGGGCATTGAACACTGGTTAGGAAAAGTCAGTAAAACATTTGTAAATTAAAAAAAGTAATAAAAGTCATGGAAATGGACATGTGAATTCTTTGTGATGTCTTAAATTAAAGAATGAGATTTTACCAAAAGCAGTGAAAGAGATATAAAAATCACTATGCCAAGCAAGAAAGGATTAAGAACACCTGGGTTTAAGTAGTCCCACCCCACAATGCCAGTTCCAGATGGCACAAAGTAACAAGCTGTAAAACAGAGCAAGAAAGTTCCTGCTAATTTAGTGATAAAAGTAGGCAGGGTGCAGGGCTGCAGGTCACATCCTCTAAGACACTAATAAAGATGTTTCCTACTCAGCCACGCTGTTGCAAGTCTAACACAGGTCTGTGGGCAAAACCTGGAGCTTACACAAAAGGGGGCTAAGGCTGGAGAGAGGTTGCATCCCCTTTGTTCTACAGGCATGATAATCCTGTAGAGATCTAAACACACAGTATTTTGAGGTCTTGGCTAGGGGAAGATGAACTTGATAGTGTAACTGAACTGCTGTGAGGTTACAGAATGCTGTTTGGTAGGAAGACTTAACATAGTCCTGCAGGATTAGTTCTAAGAGGGATCGGCAAGAAGCCACAGCAAAAGTTGTCCATGTACTACAAGTGTATAAACAGCACCAAGCTTCAACTTCACTCACAGAAGTCTAGTAAATGAGGCATGGTACTTTCCTCAGGTGTCTGCATGCCCAGCAGTACGTGTACACACTGGGAGAGACACCACGGCACAGACATCACCAGGAAGATAAGCTATCCAAGTGAAATGAAGGGTGTGAAAGGGAAAGTTAACTCCTGGCAGTACTTATCCCCCTTCTCTTCCCTACCAAATGACTTCCCTTCTCTCACAGAAGTAGTATGCTGACCCAACTCACCTGCAGCATCAGTGACTTGAAATTTGCTGGGATCAGCCCCACCATTATCTCCTTTGGTGGTTGCTACAGCTGCTTTGAAGGCTTGAGTGATTTCGTGGAAAAGTTTTGGTGTTGGCCTTCTCTGGGGAAAGAAGAAAAAAGGATTGCTGAGGAGAAAAAGCAGGCAGTTATCTGTAGAATCAAAGAATGGTTTGTGTTAGAAGGGACCTTAAAGACCATCTAGTCCCAACCCCCTGCCCCAGGCAGGGCCACCTTCCACCAGCCCAGGTTGCCCAAAGCCCCATCCAACCTGGCCTTGAACCCTGCCAGGGAGGGGGCAGCCACAGCTTCTCTGGGCAGCCTGTGCCAGGGCCTCACCCTCTCACAGGGAAGAATTTCTTCCTTCTAGCTAATCTAAACCTACTCTCAGTTTAAAACCATTACCCCTTATCCTATCCCTATACTCCCTGATCAAGAGTCCCTCCCCGCTTTCCTGTAGCCCCTTTAAGTCCTGGAAGGAAACATTCTGAAATTCTGAAGTGTTTTACTAGGACAGGAGTATTGGAATTCGTTGTAAGTTTGACTGCAAAAATAGCTCCATCCTGTAACACAAAGGAAAAATGTCAAGACAGTGTTACCAAATGCTAGTGGGCTTCACTTGCTCTAAAATAGGCTTCTGGGGCTTTTAATTGGTTGGGGGTTGAGAAGCAATCCTCCAGCTGCAAGCAACTATCCAATTTGACCTTTCCTTTCCCCTCTTAGTCAGAAGCAGCAAGTCATTTCACCACTACACAGAATGTTACTAAAAAAGTTCTTGGAGCTGCAAAAGGCACAATGCTTAGCAAGAGGGTGAATAATCACAAGTTAACCACTCTGACCTCTTCTGAGCCACACAAGTTTCTCCAGCTTCCCCCTCAGATGGAGTGCAAGCACTCAAATCTGGCAGCCCAAGAAAAATTGCAAAGACAAGTCATGCTGAAGTAACAAGAGGTCTAGGAGCATGACCCTGTATGTAGGACATATATCATCTCTGCAGATTTTTATGAAAGATGAACAAATTGAAGTCTTTTAAAGGCAGAAACACATGTGGAAGAATGTTTAAAGCAGAACTCTCAAGTGCCTTGTATTCCATGTCCCTGCTCACCTCTGCAGCTTTTTTCCATTCTTCAACCATTTTCATGCTCACAGGGATGAGAGAAACTCTCTTCCGTTTGACTTTTTCATGTTGTTCTTCATCCTCATCTTCATCACTTGCTTCCTAGAGAGTCAATACCAAGATGAGAAAAAGCTTACAAACTTTTCTGGCCCCACCTCTTTTGCTGAGTAACTACTGAAGAGAAAGACAGGCAGCAGAAAATTTTATTAATGCTGTAATCAGCACTTTGTGTAAAGCACTAATGACACCGGAGGTATTACAAATTCAAAAAAGCTACATAAGCCCTGAAGCTTTGCTAAATAAATACCATGTGCAACAACATAAAACATCAAGGAGAAAGCATATCACTTAAGGCAAAACAAACTCAGTGGGAAAGGTGACACAAAACCAAAGCCACAAAGAAAATCCACACTAAGGCTCTGCTTTCAAAATCTTGAATAAACTAAACTCCTCCTGCTCATTTCAAACCCACAGCTGACTTCTGGATTACAAGCCTGTACACCTGTGAATGATCCCTGGGGAAGCCCCTCCCCAGCCACCTGTGCCACTGTAAGCCCAAATATGCTTAGGCCTTGCAGTGAAACTCAAATACTTAACACAAAAGTAATTACAATCGTTGACTTCAGCACTCCAAAACAAGGCCTAGTACCTCCAGTGTATCAGGTGGTATGTGCAACCTCTCCTCCTCATCAGAACTGTCTGAAGCATCAAAATCCAGCAGTGAGCGATCATTTTCCTCCAAAAACTTGTAGAATTCAGGATCTTTGTCCTTCAGCCGGGAGAGCTGATCTTTGTGTTCGGATGCCTTTCCTTTCTTCCTGGTAGATAAGAATTAACACGCATTTATTCACTGCTCAAACTTCTGCTGGTGTTATAAAAAAACCCAAGCAACTTCTGGGCACCAAAGCACACCTGAGACTAATTTGAATGGTGATTTACCAGGGCTGTGGCCACAGTTCTGTATCACCTGCTCCAGAGGACTTGTGAAAGATTGTTTTCATAAAGCAGTAAGAGATCTTGACAGCCAGTTATCAGGTTCTACCGGGATACTGATCAGGTCATGAAAACATCTTGCAAAACCAGAAGAAAACTTCTTAATTTCTCAGAATTAGTATCCTAAGCTTTTATAAAGAATACTGAAAGCTGTACTACCAGAGCAACCTGACAACAAAAGCTTGGTGAAATCTTATCTAGTACTAAAGAATTATTTTGGTCTCTAATAATCACAGACTGGTTTGGATTGGCAGGGACCTTAAAGACCATCCATTTACAACCCTCCTGCCACAGGCAGGGCCACCTTCCACTAGCCCAGGTTGCCCAAAGCTACATCCAACCTGGCCTTGAACCCTTCCAGGGAGGGGGCAGCCACAGCTTCGCTGGGCAACCTGTGCCAGGGCCTCACCCCCCCTCACAGGGAAGAATTTGCTCCTTGTATCTAATCTAAGTCCACCCTCTTTCATTTTAAAACTATTCCTCCTCATCTTATCCCTACATCCCCTGATAAAAAAAGTGCCTCTCCCCTTTCAGTCCTGGGAGCTCGTCTTCTCATCTCCAACTGAACCCCCCAACTCTCTCAGCCTGTCAGGGGCTCCAGCCCCCCGAGCATCTTCGTGGCCTCCTCTGGCCCTGCTCAAGCAGGTCTGTACCCTTCTGCTGTTGGTGCCCCCAGAGCTGGACCCAGCACTGCAGGGGGGGTCTCCTCCTGAGAGCAGAGCAGAGGAGGAAAATCCCCCTCTCACCCTGCTGCCCATCCTGCTCTGGGTGTAGCTCAGCACATGGGTGGCTTTCTGGGCTTCGAGGGCACATTGCTGGCTCATGTTTTCCACTCACTACCACCCCAAAAGTCTTCCTCCACAGGGCTGCTCTTGATCCACTCTTTGCCCAGCCTAATTAGCCCTAACAATGATCAGTAGTGTCTAAGAACTACTTCACCATTTTTTATCTTGCAGATACCCCAATGTCTTTCAACAATAGTAAATACACACAAACTTAGAAAAAACAAAATAAGCTTTGCCTGACTCCAATATACCTTGTAAAAGATTAAAAGCATACACATTTCTCCACTGCAGCTACTGAGCTGACACAAGTCCGACAGAAAACCTAACTGTCCTGTACCCCATAACCACACTGTGGTGTTGAACGCTGGTCTTGAACACCTCTGACCATCCTGTCCCAGAACTAGCTCATTTTATGACGGATGCTGCAATGAAGTCCTGTGGCTACTTATAAAAGTGGTGAAAAAAAAAAATAATTAAAACTAACAACCATGAACGAGTGCTGGGACGCGCCGAGCCTCACCCACAGCGGGTGAGCAGCGACCGCCCGGCGGAGCAGCACCCGCGGCCCGGCCTTACCTCGCAGCCGGCCGGGCCTGGAGCGTCCGCCTGGCCTTCCCATCCTGCCGCGCCTTCCCGCTCCGCGACGCCGCGACCTCCTCCTCCTCCTCATCCCCCTCCGAGGCACCGTCAGGCTCCGACTCGGCGGCCAAGAACTCGTCCAGGCTCATCTGCGCCAGGTTCCTGGGCTGTCTCT